TGTGGGTACTTTTTAACCTGAAGATTGGAACTTTTTATTGCAGGGATTATGTAACCACTTCGTATTCACTCAGAGACAACAGAAGAGAGAGTCAACTTTTAAAAGTTTAAAGATTTATTACTAAGCAAATTAAAACTAGACTAACTTTAACACTAAATGTATGGTGTAACTAAGGTGAAATGAGACGGAGAATGGTGTAGTGTGGAATGTTGTTCAGAACCAGCAAATCCGAAGAAATGATTAGTTCTGGTGGGGGTGAAGGTGATATCTTCATGCTAAGCTTTAACTCGGAGATTCATAAACACATAAGACGCCATTCTGTCGGCCTACGTACCCTTTCGGAAGTCCCCGTTAGATCAGGAATGTCGAGGTCCAGCTTGACCTTCTCTGGAACCGAAGCCGGTAGGAAAAGCAGCGGTTGCCGCCTCAAACCGGTCTTGAGATACTTCCGGGTCACGACAGTTTATCGGCATCTAACAAGACCCACAACGGGGTCGTGATGGTTCAGCTGTTATTCTGAAAGGAACCGTTGCAGCAGGTGGAACGGCAACAAGTTTATCCAGCTTGTTGTTGGTTCTTTCGGCTGAAGAGGAGAGTTACAAATTGGCCACTCCGTCAACCTCTCTATAACACTTTGAACTGGCGTTAAAGATGACGTGGGCATAGTTTTATACTTTGGATATTTTGGTTTATGGTCGAATGAAAAGGTGAGAGGTTTACCAAGAACCACACCTCTGTCAGATCTGGCAGATTCTGATTGGATCAGTAAAAGCAATGTGTCATGTCTTAATGCTACGTGAGATCAGTCCTAGTAAAAACATTTAAAGTTATATTACTTATTATATTCTATAGGATTATAATAAAGTAATTAATATTTTGGTTTCACGCATTGGTTCACTTTTTATTGTTGACTAACACTTTGATTAGCTCATTAAAAATAGAGTTCTTTGATTTATTAAAAAGGAAGAGTCCTTGTCTTCATTCTTCTCTTGCGCTGGAAAGGAAAACAGTTTAGAGCAAATGCAAGCGACCTTGAGGCAATATCTCATGCAGATTAGTTCTGTGTCAGGAGAGGGGGAAAATGACTTTTAGGTGGAAAACAGTCATTACATTCCGTTACATTAGGGATTGCCTGAGTGTGCGTGAGCTGCCGCTAGGGGGTGCGCGAGGTGAAAAGTGTAATGGCTGCGGAGCTCAGAGAAGTCTGTCATGTGTCACCATTAGCGTAGCCAGAAACTCATTTGTGGGTGGGCCAAAGAAAATGTAAGTGGGCCCAATAAATGTAATTGAAAACAAGTATATTTTGCCCGCGTGCGCGTGTGTGTGTGTGTCCTCCACATGTGTCCTACCTTCATAATAACAATGCTCCGAGCTTCAGCGCTCTGGCCTAGCGCACGCCGATATGTTCCGTATTTGATCATTTTTAACGATGTTGGAGAAATCTGAAGGTGGTGAGTCATTCTGGCAGATTGTAGTTAACACCCTGTCTCATGCAGGCGTTCTGACATTGTAAACCTCACACACAGAACATTGTCGATGTAACGAAATGAGTCAAGAAATGATTCCCATCTGAGCATTTTAGCATTATTATATTATTATATTAGCACACTGACTGTGGGACAGCATTCTAAATGTGTCAGGCTATTAACAGCACGCTGAAGATCTGAAGTTCAGAGTGCGTCTGTCAGAGGTCAGATGCGTTCCAGTGGAACCACGGCTCACGGGTGCACATGTAAGAATATCTGGGCTGGGCATAAGTAATTTTACAACATTGGTTTAAATAGTGCCAATAACAAGACGCGGTGACTGGAGCGGCTCATGGAGCTGTGCCACGCACGCACGCACGCAAACACACACACACACACACACACACACACACACACACACACACACACACACACACACACACACACACACACACACACACACACACACACACACACACACACAGATTCAATAAGCACACGCGCCGCGCCGTCAGACTGAAGGCAGAAATGAGCTCTGCCTCCTCCGTGATAAAAACTTTTAAGAGGTTTTATAACAACATTTTTCACTCAAGGTCATATTAAGATATTAGCTTCTATTTTGGGATGACGTATTAAAATCGAGTCCACTCCAGCCAGTGACTCATCATGTACCTGACCACAACTCATGTTACTAGCATTGTAGCATTTGTTATTCCAGTCCGCGTGGCAGCGGATCGCAGATTCAGCCACACCATAAAACAGCAATAAGTCGGTCTGAGGCAAAAGTGAACCTCATGGCTATATCTTTTCCATCTTTTCCCCTATAGACATTTGATTACGCACAAGTAGGTGGCCAGTTCAGGTTTACACAGAGCAGAAGGAAGGAGAGCGCTCTGGCCACAGGTTAAACTTTCCTACTTTAAGAAAACCGTTAAATTGCATTGTTTGTGTGCTACCTGGGCACTCTAAATATTTATTTAAAATTATATCAAAGGAAATTGTAATGGTATTGAATGTTTATTAATGACTTTAAAAAAATGAAAGTGATGGGGAAAAAGGTTGATCATATTTTTTAACAATGTCTGTCGAGTGACTGTTTAGCTTGACGTCTGAAATATATATATATGTGTGTATATATATATATATATATATATATATATATATACACACATAGGTTTTTGCTGAAAAAGCAACAATTTGCCAGTATAAGAAACCTTTGTGAGAGTCTAAATTTCCTTGTGCGATTTGGACCTTGCTTTTATGTTGATGGAAAGTTTAACAGGTTAAAACTGCAATAGTAAATTTCAAAACAAATGAGCTTGGAACATTTTTTCATGCTTCTTAACAATGTTCTAACATAGTACAGCTATAAGTATTTTGTGAAGATTAAAGAAAAACAATAAAAGTAAATATTAATTAAGTGGTTCCCCACATATTATTATTATTATTATTATTATTATTATTATTATTATTATTATTATTTCTAAAAACCTCCACCAATAACACGGCTCGAAATAAAAGCTATTGGACCATCCAGTTGTCATATCGCTGAACTGCCGTACTTCCCTGGGTCCTCCATTCATAACACAATTGCATATTTAGCAACAGAACACCACTGGTGAGAGGTTCTTTGCTCAATAATATCAGAGATGGAGAAACAGCCGGCTGCTACCGCTTCAACTTTAGAACAAACTACCAGAATCCAAAAAAGAAAACACCATTTGAAGTCACAAACAACAAGACGTTTGGACATAGAAAACAGTGACTGGTGTTTAGCGCCCTCTTGTTTACTCTTGTAACGCGGGTTTTCAGTTCAGTCAGTGATTCTATCCGAGGGGAGGAGGGTGAGTGTTCCTTGATTGCAGATTCACTGTAGCCGTTTTAAAGCTGTGTGCATGGACGTTTTATTTAAATAGTGTTAAAGTTTAGGACCCACCTTAAACTTTCTCCATATAGTAATTTCTGAGAGATGGAAACTGCAAGAAATGTATGAAAGGTTCTGGAGGGGTTTGTGACTGAAATGCAAATGTGCAATGTTACTCTCAATTTCATCATATATCTCACTTGACCAACCTATGTAAAACAAATTAAAATACAACAAAGAAAACTTTATGCTAGAGAGTTATAGCTACCCAGTCATTATATTTAAAGGTGAACATTTAATTATATGTATGCAATTTGTTTTTCTAAAAAGAGATTCAGCATCTTTGGATTGTTTGTTAGGCAAGAAAAAAAAATCCTGAAACCAATATTTAGAACGTTCCTTGACCTTGACAGATGCATTAATCATTCATTTGCCTCTTTTGGACAATGCACATATACTATAAGGCTAAAATGATTAAAAATGTTTCACTTTAAATACTTAAAAACGGACTGAGATTTAATGACAATGGATGAAAACACATTGGATGTTTAATTTATGAAAATATTGTTCAAGATCTTGATTGTAAGGTTGGTGGAATTTCTCCATATAGTTTCAAGGACTTTTATTTTGTAAAATCTTAAAAGAAAGTTTCTTATTAATAGTGAGATGCATGCTGACTTTTTCCATGTATGTAAAAACAAACTGCCGATGTGATGGGTACATTTGTCTGAGGAGCTGATGGAGCATGAATAACTTAACATCTGTTATGACAGAAATATTCTTCACCAGTCTGTGGTGTTTTATGAACAACCTCTCCCATCAGGCAAGTGAAAACATACTCATAGAACACAGTCAGTAGCAAATAACACCAATGATTGATGGCTTAGGTTTCTGTCATTCTTATGTTACAAAATGTACATTTTAGTAAAGATACAACAAAATAAGTTTGTATTTACTCTTTTATGTGGAGTTGGTTAATTAATGAGGGGAATTCGTGCTCATAGTTTCTTCAGAAGCCTCAGTCCAACCCCGAGCCTGAATGAGCTTAAAGTGGAAAATGTCCAAGCATAATAATCAGTTCATTTGGTTTCAGTGTTGTTTCTGTGATGGAATAAAAACTCATCTCCTCAACATCCTATTATCTTTACAGCGGATTTGGTAAATATAAAATGTTTGCCAATCCTCGTATCACAGCTCCACTTATGACAAACAAGTATCAGGGACAGAGGTGCTATTTGAATCCCTTTGATGTTTGTGCGCTCAGCGTGACACACCACCACAAGTCAGGTCAGATGTGAACAACACACCGCATTCGGTTTGCAGCCCTTTTCGCTTTTATTGAGTAGACATTAAAAAACCTTTTTATGGGCAAAAAATTAAAGCGTAAAGAAGCACAACAGTCATGTTGAGATGAAAAAACAGGGTTGACTGACAGAAACAGCAACATGTGATATACATCCAAGATCATGACACATATTTCCTTAACCAAGGTCATGCAATGGGATGATCCACGACTGTAAAGCTATGCCTCAGTCTCACAGACTGAGGGTGGTATTTCCACCAAAATCAGAAACGTAAGCCTCTACCGCCACTTCCATGTAATATATTTATTTATAGAGGCAGAACAGGCTGAAGGCCGTTTGGATGCAGAAACACAGGACGATGAAAAATCATATGAAATCACTTTATTCTCAGTGTGCGGTGATTCCATTTTTGCAGGAAAGTTACAGATTTAAATATTTGTCTAAAATGGCATGCAGTGAGGCTAACAGGTGGAGCTTTGAAACACAGAGACACGAAACGCTTATATCAACAACCTCGCCTACATCACACACTGTAAGCATGCATACATTTTTGTGAACACAAGGATATACAGAGAGAAAGAGGAGGGGAGAACACTGAGGAGATTTAGCAGAATTAAATAATGCACCAAAGAAACTTTTTTTTCTCTCAAAATACCAACCACCAGAGGACAGAAACAGGACAAACTACACACAGGAAAAAGAAAAGTGCACCAGAATATCTCCTCAACACATACAGAACACAGAAAGACAGACGCAAGAAGAGAGAAAAGTCAGACAGTTACATTCACGTCACATCAGTATATTAGCTATTTTTCTAAAAGCCAGGTTTGTCAGGCGGTTCATTAAACCCGTGAATAAGGGACAGTAAGTGACGTTACACAAGTGGATTTTTGACACAGCTTTTCTGGACTACAAAATATCACCCTTAACACAGGCAGTTTGTTTGGGCAGTGATCTGAATGCCATAGAAGTGCAATACATTGGAAATGACTTGATGACAGTGTATCCTTTTATTCAGCAGGTGAATGATATGCAGAGGGTGATGACATTTCGGAGCACACCAGCTTGGAAAATATTCACTGTTAACATTGGGAACGTTAGCTAAGGTGTTGTTGGCATCATTTACAAGGGCAGTAACTGTAGCTTTCTAAAATATTCTTGGGAAATATCTTTTTTTTTTAATATAAAAGTGCCTGCATGACACTGATAATGTAGCTGTGATGCTAATTGTACACATAGCAAAGGCTAGTACGGTTAAAGTCAGTTTAAACATTGCACTAGAGAACCTGAGAATTAAAAAAATTAAAACAAAAAAATATACAAGCAGAAAAGCAGTTAACTTTAATGAAAATCTGCTACCACCATCTTTGGCTTGATTAAATAACTGCTCTAATGACAAATACATGGTAAATAGTACCTTAGCTAGCCTGATTGCTCAATTTATGCTAGCACACTGTTGGGGAAGTGGCTGGCAAAGGCAGTTTTGAATATACTGGAATCACAAAAGGTTAAATAAATTCTATTGATCATCACTACAATTTTGTCCTCTGATGCTTTATTCTGCTTGATTATAGAGCTTTCAGAACACATAATGAAAACAGAACACCTCACTAATGGCACACACAAGTTATTAGGTGCTAGTTTAGACCTAGACACATAAAACTATGATTTGGTGGTAAAACTAGTAGTTATGAAGTTGCAGCTACAAATTGGTCACATAAATATTTTCCAACAGAATAACACAAATTTAGCTAAACCGATCAACTCTAATAGCACATAATCCCTTATAATTTAAGAGGGATTTTATGAGCACATGAAATTCAAAATCACTCTATATTTGATAAAGTTTTGTCACCAAACTCAAAATTTAGTTGAATTTTAGAAGCTACATGAACATTTTCAGAGATGATTTGAAGTTGAAGGCAAAGAAGGTATTAACTGAGGCCTATTGTAAATATTTTTTGTAAGTATCAGTATGTTACCAGCACAAGTCTGGTGGAATGTTGGAAACATCTGGAATGTTTAACGAGACACTGGGAATGAAGTGAAATAAAAATATAAGGCATATGGAGAAAAATCATGAAGATTTTTGTGCCATTGAAGTATTTTACCTGCATGCCAGGCCAGAATCTGCAGCAAAAGTAAATGTTTTGGTCATGAAGGTTTCATACAGGACTTCGAACAAAGATTCTCATACTTTCGCTCCTGTCTTGTGCCCAACTTAATGGCAGTCTGTTAAAAAAAAGTAATTTTCAGTAAATTTATAAATGATTTTTATGACACGAAACAAATTGTCCCACCTTCCCTCTTTTTACTGTTTAAGTTAAACATGGCTGACGTACAAAAGTTTTACTACATTATGTGGACACGTCTTTAAGGACAAACACATCAAGGAATAACTTTAAAAACACACAACAATGAAGATTGTCTGTTATTGCTGATTTTGGGCTTTTCTCCCGTTTGTTAAACCAACAGACACAGGACTACTTCATTTTCAACATTATATTGCACTATTGTCACTGTCTGTTCACACAAGTGTGTTCACAACATAGTTGTGTTTGTGAGGTTTAGAATTTCTTTTTAAATAATAGAAAAATGAAGATAACACTGAATTAAAAATTCATCTGCCAGGTTCGACTTCTACAAATTCTAAAGTGATACCTACCAGCATAACAAATGTTTTAAAGAATGTGAATATTATTAAACCTCACACGTGTGTATGGAAGAACATTTTAGTCATTATCTCCCAATAAAATGTTAATCAAACAAAAAAATAGAGAGCCACTTATTGCCTCAAATACCGATGTATTCTGCGTTCACACATCAAATGAAATGGGACCCATATACGCACATTACTTCAAAACCATTGACTGCATGCTTACAAAGTAAACAATTTAAAAATGTTTCATTTCAAATTAATTCCTTCACTTTCTGGTTTACAGATTTTGAATGTCTTGGTCGTATTACACATTCACTGTGAGTCAATGAGAACGCAAAGAACAATTTGCAGGGTGAATCCTCACAACAGAAAACCAATAATGTATCATTTATATACACTGTATGTATCAAATATTGACAAGAACATGAAAGGAAAAATCACTAAGAACATTTGATATGGTTTGGAATAATTTTGTAAAAGGTAAAAATATGGCTTTTACTCTTAGTCATCAGGTTAAATGTTCTATTTCACTCATATATATCTCTTTTTCACAACTCTGAGGCTTTTTACAAACAAAAAAGGGGTTGATGGGTGAAATCTGGTCTTGTTCTGACTGATGCACTTTCTTAACATATGACATTAAAGTAAAAATACATCAGATCTGTGTGAGGGCTGCACACTTTTTAAAGTAGGACAACAGATCATCGAAGCAGACAGTCTGTTCAAGATATTAAAAAGCATGAATCACCATCTGAGATCAGATTGTTTAGCTGAAAGACAAAATCATGGCACACTGCGAAATTCCAGGACACTTAGATTACCGGTCTGGGATGAGTGTGAGGGAAGGTGTGAATTCAGGATGGGGTGGGGCAGGTTGGTACAGCATTAATGTAAAGAACGTTGTAAGAAGTTAAACGTGTTTCATCCAAACTCCCTCGTGATTACTTTTTATTGAACATATCCATGAGAGGCGCCGGTATGAATTTCATGACCGTGTCCACGATGCTCTCTTCTTCCTCTTCATCACCACAGCCAGTGGGAACAGCCTTTTTGGGACGGGTGAGGCTGCCCTCGGAGGCCTGCTCCATGGCTGCTGCTGCCTCGGCTTCCTTCTCCTCCTTCTTCTTGATGCCATACTGCAGAGAAAAACAAAACAGATTAGAACCAACTTCAAGATGAAAAGCTAAAAAAAAGCTGCTTAAAAATTTTACAATTATGATGCGTTTTTACTCAGAACCCATTCTGGCAGAGGATTTTGGTCCTTGAGCAAAATCAATAAAACTGGACGGACGGGGAAGGCTTTGGGAGCACAGGAAGGCCACTGGGCTGACTGACAGCTAATGTTGGAGGAAACTCATCCAGACTCGTCTGTGACCTCTCTGCTGCCTTACCAGACAGACTTTAATGGGATTCTGCAGCAATACATATTTTAAGTGAAGACTGCCAGACTCCCTTTCTGCTATATGTGGGGCAGCGGGAACATCTGTGTGTCTGTGATAGAATCAGACAGGTTGAGTTTAAATGTGGCTTTCTATATGATTGAAGTCAAGCTTAGTAACGTTTAGTAATTTACTTCCACATAAACAAAGACGAAGAGAGACGTCTTAATCTGGGTGCTTCTCGTGATTATAAAGAGATTAAAAATATCTGTTTTCAATTTATCCGGTGTCATTTTGTGGAAAGGTCACACATACAGAACAATCTTATACAGAGATTTTAAGGTCAACTTTACTCATAGTTTTAATACATTTGCAGTGGGAATGAATGCGTTGTAAGTTATACTCTGGGGGAAACAGCTCCGGCGTAACTGTTTAAGGGCGCAGAAGTCAGCTGGAGGAAGAAGTGACAGAATACAGCAGGGTCTAGATTCCTATTTCCTGATTTCTGGACATCTCACCACTGATTGGCTAACAGCAAAACAACTCTACCACTAACAACTGAGACTGCACTTATTAAGATATTAAATGATATTTGTCTAAATACAAATTCAGGCAAAACGTCTATCCTGGTGATGCTCGATCTCACTGCAGCTTTTGATACCGTGGACCACAACATCCTTCTTGATATGCTCATAAACTGGGTGGGACAATGGGCACAGTCCATATTTGGTTACAGTCATATTTTGAAGACAGAGGTCATATTGTCCCTATTGGTGACCACAAATCAAAGCTGATCACCATGACATGCGGGGTCCCCCAAGGCTCAATTCTTTGACCTCTGCTCTTCAATCTCTGCATGCTCCCCCTGGGTCAGGTCATATACAATAACGACATTGCCTATCATAGTTATGCAGACGATTCCCAGATCTACCTAGCTCTATCACCTAGTGACCGTGGTCCCCTAGACTCACTTTGCCAGTGTTTGGAGTAGGTCAATGACTGGATGCAAACTTCCTCCAGGTAAAAAAAGACAAGACTGAAATTGTTTTTGGATTTAAGAAGGATGGGAAGGAAGTTTGCTGTTGCTCAACTTGGCTTCAGAGGATAGAAGGTAAAGACCCACTTTAGAAATCTTGGTGTCATAAGTGATTCAGACCTGAGCTTCACTAGTCACATTAAGGCTATAACTACATCAGCGTTTTATCATCTTCATCACATAGCAAAACTCAGGGACTTCATGTCCAGACAAGGCCAAGAGAAACTAATGCATGTGTTCATCTCCAGTAGACTGGACTATTGCAATGGTCTTTTGACTGGTCTTCTCAGTAAAGCTGTGAAGCAACTGCAGCTTATTCAGAATGCTGCTGCTAGAGTCTTAACAAGAACTCAGAGAGCCGAACACATCACTCCTGTTCTTAGATTTCTACACTGGTTACCAGTAACTACAGAATAAATTTAAAATTACTTCTACTAGTTCATGAATTACTCATTGGCATGGGGCCAAAATACATGTTGGATCTCCTTCCTGTATACACCAGCAGGTCTCTGAGATCCTTAGGAAACAGTCAGCTGGTACAGCCCCGGGTCAGAACCAAACAGGGTGAAGCTGCTTTTAGCTACTATCCTACTCACAGATGGAATCAGCTTCCTCATGACCTTAAATGTGCCCCAACTCTAAAATAGAAAACCTTCATGGATTCATTAGCTCTTGTTCTGCATTGTAACTGCTCACCCTTTAACTTAATCCTTTTCTTTTGATTTTTAAATCAGAATTTTAATTGTGTGTTCATTGATTTTTAATGTTCTTGCTATTCTCGCTAATTGGAAAGCACATTGAATTGCCTTTGTGTATGAAATGTGCTATATAAATAAAGCTGCATTGCTTTTTAACACCCCCAGTGCCCGTTATTAATTCTCTGTGGTCAAACCGAAAATGAAACCCATCTCCTTGCTATGTGTTAATCTTTTTAGCACCTTAATCTAACTGCTAAAATGTCTCCCCAGCCTTCAATTAGTGTCTACAGGAGTGGTTCACTAAATCAAAAAAACCAGATGTGTTCACTCCGACATGCTTTACAAGACAAGGGGGGAGCGAGCCTTCGTGTATGTAGCTCCCGTTCTCTGGAATGCACTGCCGCTCACTATCCATAGACAGTCATGGGGCGAACGCTATGGTTGTCTTTCAAACTGTTTCTGCATGCTATTGGACAGTGACCAACATGACAAACTCACTGCTATGAATGTCAGTCAACAGGGCAGTCTGCCATATACTGTTGCAAATATATCCTTCATCTAAATAAAGGACTTAAATACCTCTATCTACTCCTGACTCAAAGAAATGCCCAACTCTTAATAATCCAAGTTGATTCCAAAGTCATTTCAAAGGACCGGTATCCACCACATTTTAGTTTTAACTCTGCTTCAACACACCTGTTTCAGTCAGTAGGTAATTAACAGGCTCCTGCAGAGCTGCTGCACAGGTGATTGAACCACTGAATCATGTATGTTGAAACAGAGAAACCACTAAAACGAGCTGGATACTGACCCTCCAGGCCCAGAATTGATTGCCCCTTGTCTAGAGGTTACCACAAAAGAATTGAGAGCTGAGTCTGTTGCAGACCACCTGAATGATGTTGCTGTCATTTTCACCATATGAGAAGTCATGGTCTTCAACTAAAAACATTAAATGTGCTTACTTTTGCAACCCTGAATGCAGAATCCAGAGCTGTAAAAATGTGTTTCACTTTTATTTTAATCATGAATACCACCTACATGTTATCACTTTGTGTAGGAAAGTCAGGACTTAGAAAGTGTCAGTAGATTTTTAGTGCAGTAGGCTTTCGATATTATGTTTTAGATTTAGTTTTTAATTCGTTAACATAATTGTTCCTTACCTTATCCCTGATGCCCTGCCGGATGTTTTCTCTCTCTGCTTCCATTTTTGCGTATTTGGCCTTCCTCTCCTCTTCTTGTTGCCTCAAAGCTTCTTGTCTCTCCTCCTCTTTTTTCTGAGCATCAGGGTCCTTCTCCTCCTCTCCACCAAGCATCTTACCCATGTCTTTGGTGGCCCCTGTCAAAGGTAAAACAAGGAGAAAGAGAAAAAGATGTGTCAAACCAAATATAATCCTTTAATGCATAACACACAGATTTGACAATTACCCGAACATAATAGCTTTCTGGCATGACAGTGATACATCTAAGGTTTGGATAGTTGAATAGTTATTGCTTTGTATTTCCATTTTCAGGCTGGTGAAAGAGCAGCACTATTTCCCCGTGACAGAACCAGAGACAATAGATGGAACGAGTGCCACTATCAAGAGCCAGACATGAAAGACCCTGCAATTAATTAATAGCAATCCTCCTGATTGCTTTTGTGCTGCTTGCTCTGGCATTTGTTATCTCCAGCTAAAATTTACATCCTCATGTAAAACGTCCACTTGGACCATGGGTCAAGGCTTGAGAACAAAAAGGTTTCGAGTGCTGCTGAAGAGATGAAATCAAACAATCACCATACAGCTCAGTCTGCGGCTGAGCTCAGCCTAATATTTCAGCCTGTTAGAAATACGTTAAAACTGACCCAGTTTAAGAATAAACACCTTAAATGTCTTTAGAGTAAGTGAACAGCTAATGACTATATTCTGGAAGGTTCCCGGTTTGATTCCAGCTTCTTTACCAGAAGCAAACCAACATTCCACAGGATGTGTCACACTGCAGGACAAATGCAGCTGCAGACTTATGGCTTCATTTTCCAAACATTACACTTGAAGATGAAAAACACGTAGCTGTACAAAGTGCAGGCGCCTCTACTAGTTAAACAGGATGAGGAAAGTCTGAAAGTTCTTAGCAGTAAGTTTGAGCATTTTAGGTTTAGAGAACTTGGGAACAGTTCTGCCTGAAAATCAAACTGACAACCAGAATGGTGCCAGAGTGAAGTGACTTTAGATTTATTTTTTATATGTTCTGGCATTCAAAACAAATATCTCACTTTTGAATTAGGCATGAAAAATGTTTGTTGTCCTTTAAAACAAAAGTGTGTTGTCTTTAGCTGGAGTGTTTGAATAAGAAGGATGGACAGACTGTTTCTGAGTGTGGGCCAGCACCACAAGATGCTCCCTCTGTGCCTTTACAACGGGCTCTGCCTCGTGTGTTCTTACTTTTGAGACATCGACTCCTCTTTCTAGCTCAGTGGCTGGAGACAAGACAGTGCTCTAAGAGTGATCAGACGAATCCTGAACCCTCAACTCTGTGCTCACATCCAACCAACAGGAAGGGGGAAAAAGATTATAATGAGAAGTGGACCTCCCAGACTCACTGAACAAATTTAAAGCCCACCTTGCTCTCACCCTGCCCTCCATCCGGCACGCTGCGTGTCTTTACGAAGACCTTTGCCTGTATCTCAGTGTCTGCTTGTACGAGGTGTAAAGCCTCGCAAGCTCTCAGAGGAAGGAACTAAAGACAGAGCCATCTGTTTTTGCAGAGAAATTGATGAGACAATTATAACCTTGAGCTAAAGTCTGAGCTTGCCATATTGTACCAGAACAAGTCCCAGTCCCTTGCAAGGCAACTGCTAATTAATTTCATATTTTAAAAATAATCCTTGGTTTGTTAATAATTTATTATTTTAGTTGTCTTGAGACTTTAAGCCAGAACAGTAATTATGTGCATTTACAGTTGAACAGGGTGGAGACAGACCATTCTGTAGATCTGTAATGGCGGGGTGTTTTAGTACAATCTGTTTGGTTAGAAACAAACAAACAAACAAACAATAAATAAATAAATAATACATGAATGCCTTGGCGGAGTGAAGATTCACTCTTCTTCGTAGAGGCAGAAAGAAGAACATTAAATTATTTTGCAATCAGTAATGTGATATACTCCTCAAACAAAGGCTTTATTCCCTTCTGAGCACCAATTATGAGTGATAGAATGAACATTTCTCTAGATTTTCAACATCCTTTTTTTCATTTTACAATGCCACACAAAGACAAGATCAATGGTTTGCAAGTCACAAGACTCAAATCCTACCACTCAAGTCCTGAGTCGATAAAGTTCCTGGGCCTGGGGTTAAGCCCAAGACCCAAGCTTTTATTTTTAAATTGTAATTTGACCAAATTTGTTAGTTCATTACAAAGTCCTACAAAACAATCTTCAAAGATGTTTATTACATAGCTGGTCCTAAGAAATCACAAAATCCGAAGAGAATCCCACAAGAATATATGTAATTCCGCCTGTTCACTCTATAACAAGGAGAAATATGGCAGCATTCATCCAAAAGATCTGTGGATGTGTCACAGGTAATGGCAACATTCTGTTATACTTAATAAGAAATCTGCCATGTTTGATTTCCTGTCTGGCCTCATCTGAATTACTGAGTTTGACACATTCTAAAGTATAAAAAGTTTACACAGGGCATTATTAGCAGCACACAGCAACACACCGCTTCTAGGATGCATCTGAGATGCATCACTGCATGCCCTGTGGAAACACATTCATTGAATCTAGAAAGACTGTAGTGTGTGTGTGTGTGTGTGTGTGTGTGTGTGTGTGTGTGTGTGTGTGTGTGTGTGTGTGTGTGTGTGTGTGTGTGTGTGTGTGTGTGTGTGTGTGTGTGTGTGTGTGTGTGTCAGTGAGTCATGGCAGATGGCTGCTTCTACTGAGCCAGGATCCTCTGGAGGTTTCCTGTTAAAAGGGAGTTTTTCTCTCCACTGTCGCTAAATGCGTATTTAGTATGAGGATTGCTGTAAAGACACTGACACTAGCCAGTGTCTTTACAACAATCTGCTGGGTTCCTTATATAGGAAACGTTTTACTGATTGGCTTAATGAACTGACCTGTATTGGAATGTTTACTTTGTGAAGGGCTTTGAGACAACTCTTGTCGTGATCTGGCGCTATATAATTAAACTTGAACTGAATTGAAATGAAATGGTTATTAGGTGTTTATTTAGGTGTTAAAATAAAATAAGACAACAATTTTTTCCATTCAAGTCACAACAGTTGTTATCCAGGAATGAGATGCCGTCTCAGTTTCTTTTTTCTTCTGCTGCTCTCTTTGGGAAGTCACATTCTTCTCGTGCATGCACTAAACAACACTGGAGTTACATTATTCATGACTTATTTCTATGCATTCATAAAGACCACAGCATCTCATTGAGGTTTGCAGCAACATAAGAATAAACCTTAAACAATATTCAGCTTCTCCGTTCTTTGCCTGAGGACAAAGCAGAGCTGCTGAGCAGGGCTGTAAACCGTCCATGTCTTTGTTGCTGAAAGCTTGAGGAGATTTTTTAAACCTTGTGTGGGAAGCAGGCTTCACAGACAAAAGGACTGAGGAGGAATATCCTTCATCACCTCTGGGATAATATATTCCTCTGTTGCCTGGTTGAACAGAAAAACTCTTGAAATGAAGTTTAGTCTGCAACTACAACTTAGAATACAGCAGGACACACAGTTACCCGGTTTGAGCTTATATCCTGTTTTTTGAGCTGAGTTCAATGTCTCATTAGAGCAGCAACAGATACCAAACTACTAAAACACGCAAGTCTGAAAAATTGGATTATATTGTGGATGCAATGCAACATTTTATTCTTTAATACAGACATTATCAGGGAGGAGGCTGCATAGGGTTATTTTTAGTTTTACAAGCTTTTAAACTGAATTAGAACCCAAGACTGTTGTGTTTTCAGCACTCCTCCCAACTACTTAATGTTTCTGATCCTTTATCTTTTTGTTTTTGTACAATCTACGCAATCATTCACATATGCTGCAGTTTATTTTAAATCTGCCTCTTCCCAAACATACACATGACTGGTCTTACAGCTCAAGGCTAATTGGCTTGTTTTATTTTTACTATTAAATAGTTCCCGAGTGCTGCTGTGTCTGCAGCTCACCACTCCCCGAGGGGATGGGTCAAATGTGGTGAACAAATGTCACCACACACCAGCGTTTGAGACAACTGATGGGATTTTAATCCATAATCTTTAATTGTGACACACGGGCTGTGTGGAAGTCTATGACTGTCATGTTTCCCAAAAGCCGTGGAGTCATCTAAAGCTTCCTGCTGTGGAGTCTGGGAGGAGTGCTATGATAAGGCTCTAACATCAGGAATGAGAGCCTCGACTTCAGTCAGAAAAAGGAAAGAAACTGGGTCTATAATTAGAGGACACAAGGAACAAATCATTTCTGATGCACATTTAGGGCTTTGCAAACGATTAACTCCATTAAATGGTTGGAGACGACAGCTACAATGAAAATATTTCATGATAAATGTTCTACCATGAGACAGGATTAGTCATAACCCATGAAGTATATGTGCAGTGTAGTGAAATGAAACATTACAGCGTAACTGAAAATGACCAATAAGATGTGATGATTCCATATAAATATACACAACAAGATATGAATGAAGGTTATCTTGTCCATTAGATGGTGAAAAATTGACCACTTGGAACTATGTAACTGCAGTGCAGTCTGATATGATATGTAGTTAAAACCAAACAAAAGAAAAAACAAAATCAACCTCACCTGAGTAAAAGTCCCTCTGACCAAAATATGGTTCCTAATGTTCCACTTAGTGTTCTCCGTGCTTCCTCGATATTTAGCTATTTGTCCTCATGTTCTGCTATTTGATTGAAATATCTAAATTAGTTAAATCTCACACAAACTAAACGGAGACGAATTTCAGATATGCACAATAACGATGTGACAATTTTATTATTATTGTCATGAAAATTGTTAGAACATGTTAAAGTCACATGATAGCCATGCCCTGCAACACATGCAAGTAGAGAATGCTTGCAAACATTTTGGCCAAGCTCTTTGTTTCTCTGTGATTTAGTTATCTTTTTTACTGCTGTTTTTGAGTTTTTTTTAACTCCTTTATTTCTCAGTAAACCTTCATTTGCATCAAATGTGGAACGAATGTGGTCCAGAATTCGTACGGCTTCCGAATAAACTTCCATTTACACCAGCTGCAATTCTGGAAATTTCCTCCTGCGAGAGCTCCAAAGGATTACAAATCAGACATATCGTATATGTTTAAAGAAGTACTTGTAAAAATATTATGAGCTGT